TTTTCTTTATATTATTTCTCTAAAAAAAAAAAAAAAAAAAAAAAAATTCTTTTACAATTTTCTTAAACAGAACTAATTACCAGACTGCGGATATTGTGCATTTGTGACAAAAATCAGTAGATGAAATTTGAAATAGTGAAAAAATTAAAAGAAACTAAAAACCTTGATGTATTAATTTAAACTTACTAAAGTTATTAAAGGAAAACAAAAAGTTGTGCCCAACTCCTATGTTTTGCAATTGATGCAGACAATATTAATTTTGCATAAAGATCCGCAATTTACTTATAACGAATTTAGTTAATAAATCATTCTTAAATAAATCATTTGGTTTAAAATATTAGTAAATAAATACATAACACAAAGTGAAGGAAATCGATTGTTAGTTTTGCACTAACTGAATATTTAAAGTAACAAAGTGCTCTACCGAAGGGAACAAGTGAAAATAGAGCAAACAATACTGTCTTTGTAGTTATTGTTAATGGTGGAAGTCTTCACCTAGCCGTTGTTGTTTGGAGTAACACATGTTACCCTCGTAGAAGTACAAAGGCTGAGCAGAAAGCGGTTGGGTCGGAACAGGAAATCCGTGACTAACCACGTGACATGAAACGTCCGATGGAAAGGATGATCTCTTGAAACTGGCAGTTTTCGTTTTACTACTTTCACGTATGCCATATGACTCTCGTATCTCAAGGACGACAAATCTTCGCATATCTTTATGTGCAATAATAAAATGTAGTAATAAATACCTACTTCTTGATTAGACAACACATAAAACTAATTTATTCACAGTCATAACTATTAATATCTGTCACTATATCGATGTCATTCATTGGTAGTCAACGTCAAAGCATGAGAATAAATTGCATGAGAAGACGACTTGAGAATAAATAAATGAATGTTTCACAATTTTTTTAATATTTTAATATAAAAAAGACGGACATAAATATCGAAATTATTTCAAAACAGTTACTGTCTGTTATTGAAAGATTATTTAAAATTATTTTCTTTATGATTAGACTGTGAATCTTTATGTAATTTTCTATTATTACAGCACATTTTCCAGCATTCAATTCAAAGAAAATTTCCTTATGTTGGTTGGATGATTTATTGCAGCGGAACTATACCAAAGCTGCTATTAATTTTTAATAATATAAACTTTCTTCTATTTAATATAATTTTTAATATAAGCTTTCTTCTATTTCACCAATTTGCCCATGGCATAAATTCATAAAGATCCGCAGTTTAGTTATTGCATAATCAAAACATACATATGCACTAGTTAATGAAAGTTTTCTAATTGCCTTACATTGATGAGACTGAAAGAATAAGTATCACAATTAAAACGAATTAAAACAGAATTATTTAACAACAATAAATATGTATATGTATAATAATTTAAGTTCTACATGTTCATAGATCGGATAAACAGTGGATAAATATTGATTTAAATATAAAAAAGCGTATATAACTATAGTCATGAAACATTTTTTTATCAGCATTGTTTTAAAATGTGTAAAATTTACTTAGCATATAAAGTATGTAGAATGTATATGTACTTCCTTCGCGGATGCCCAGCCAGATACGACAAATGGATTGCGTGTCCAATTTGGCGTGTCTTACTTCAAAAAAGTGGAATACGTGTGCCGACTGCATGTAGTAGCATGTGTTTCATATCACGTTGTACGTATATTATATAACACAGTGTACAAATGCATTTCCTACTTTCCATAATTTTCTCTCGTTAAGAGCGTGCTTATATTATTGTGGTATATTACCGTTTGTGTTATATTACATTATTGTGTGTACTTATATTATTTATTTATTTCTGTTAACGGTTAATGAAGAATGGAAAAAAAGATTTCTTTAATATTTCTTATTGTACCGTATATTTATTTAGGCATCTTCAAAATTAACAAACATCTCTTTTCCAACGTTTACCTATACGAGACATTCTTTTTGAAATAAATGCGTGGTACTACATATAACATGTTTAATTCAACAATTATTGAAGTCGCCATAGTTTAGTTGATCTATAATTATCATCATAATTTAGTTGTTAATAGTTAGTTATTGATAAAATCAGTTGTTAATAAAAGCATTTATTTTGGATGCTTATCACGCAGAGAATAGTAGAATAATTTTTAATAAATCTATACAGCAGTTGAAAGTATTATCTTCTGCATTATTAACTATATTCCGACACGTGTTTCCATGTTATTCATGTTATTCATTATTATAAATTATACATATACAGTAAATTCTCCCTAATTGACCCTCAGCTTGTACACAAAAATGGACAATTTGGGAAGAGAAGATACAATTATTCGAGCCTCGCGTTGACGCCTAGTTGTTGACTATCGGCGACTATAAAAACGAGCCGCGAGGATCGAATAAAAGGTCAATTAATTTCATTTAATTAATTTTCATCGATTCATTAATTTCATCTTACAAACACGTACGTCGTCAATTGTTCCACATTCGTAACACCAAGGTCGGCATTTCGCAGATAACAACAAATTCTTAATATAAATATGATTTTGAATAAATATAACATATTTACTTATTGCCAGAAGCAACTTATCTGTCTATATTGCAAAATAATTAAATTAGCCAAATTCTGCTGAATAATAACTAGATCATATATATATATATATAATCCAAAGTGTCAGGATTAAATATTTGAAAACATTTTATGATTGTTGTTGCGTGATACCTTAAATTAATTTCCAGTTAAAGCTGAAATTTATGTACACTGCAAAAGCATAATAAACTGAATCGATAAATTCACCTTTGCCCTTAGCTAAAAAACTGAAAGATAAGGGTATAGAAAATACAGCACATAAAGTGCCTTAAAATTATGATATAAATTATTGAATATATGAAAAAGTATTCCAAGCAAAAGTTGAACATGATATCATCAAAGTCACTTAACATATTCATTTATTTTTTAATATCCGGTTGCCTAATATTTTTCCAAATAGTGTCTACAATTAATAATTTTTCAAATATTTGTAAAGTAAGTCTTATTTTAGGTTAATTTTGTTAACACTGTTCCTATCAGATATTAGACAACATTGTCAACATAAAATAGAGACCCGGTCCACGATGTTCACGAGAAACGTGTTAATTTGAAAAACACGTCTGATACTACAGCTTTTGTCTTGAATATATTCCTTCTTCTTCAATTCTAGGACATATGTTTAGGCATTCTTTTTTCGTATCTTACGTTGCAAATTGATTGCCTTTGCAGTGCAAAATTTGTTGCCATTATTATTTATTTATTTATTTATTCAGCCTCACGGATAGGAATTAATCTTGGTTCACATTAACTACTAATCCAGTCACTCTGTTCAACCATTCCTTTCCATCGATTTCCAATTTTATTTTTTTCCTAGAATTTTATTCATCCTACTTAAAATTTTTCGTTCTTTGTTTAATGACATGCTGTTTAATTATTTATGTATCACGTTTATACGTGATTAAATTATATTCTGTTATAATATATACAATATATATTTATCATTTAAAATATAAAAGACTTTCGTGAAATATAATCTATAAAGTTCTCAGTTAAATTTTCAAAATGACCATCTCGAATAATTAAGATAGTGTAAGGTTTAATGTAAATATATTGTCTTTAATTATTACAGATGGCTATTTTCAACATTTAATTGAAAACTCTATAAATCATATCTCAAAAGTCTGTTACATTTCAAATGATACAAAGATGATCAGAATTTCTAAAATAGATTCGGCCGTTGGCCAAATAGACATAGCATTTATGGAAACACGAATACCATTGTCTAACTTTCATTATTCATTTGTTTCAGACTGCTCTACATACTGGTGCCGGCTCCCAGCAGCAACTTTTAGAACCCAGAATGGCGCAACTGGAGACCTTGGAGGCGAAGGTAATAAAAAAAGTATCTATAACGTATTTGACGCATAGCGGAAATAAAACTTTCTCACGCTTAGAATTCATTACGATACGACTGTGCGCTTTACCTTGCAGTCTTACCTTTTTATGAGTATACATATGTATGAGATAAATATATGTCGACATACACGTGTTCTCAGAAGAACGTTTAGTAGCCACCTTCTAGAATCATTATTCACTGATTCAAATTGAATTTCATAGATCCATTCGATGAAAAATCGGTGGTGTTCAGTCTTTTGTCGCAGAAGTGTAAAAATTAAATCTCGGTATCGAACTTATAATGTAACTCTTTTTTAATGTAACTCTTATAATTTTAAAAGTAAAATTCAAGACAATGGTCTGCATCTTTCTTGTTACGGTAATAAAGAAAAATTAATAAAAATTCTTTTAATGTGTTATTTAGAAATATATAAATGGCGGAATTTATAAATTACATTAACAATCTCATGCGTAACATTTTCTAAATCTTAATCATTACTTAAAACTCACACAAATCATCTGAAATTACCGTTTGCTGTAGCTAGCGTTTTTTCTCGTTTTACGAAAAGAACCTCACATACTAGATCAATATTGTAAGGATCGATTACCTCCTTCAACGAAAATAACATGGGATTTTTTTAACACGAAAGAACATTCTTCGAATTTTTGGAAACGGAACATTGTAGCAGTTATTGCATTAACCCCTTGACATACCATCTTCTTCGCAGTTACTGTAATTAGAAATTTTTCGATTGCAATAATTTCTTAGAAGGGAAAGAAAATTGATGCTTATCGTGTGCCTAAATTTACTCGAATGCTTAAATATTGATGACAAGAGATTAGAATTTTATTCCAATTTCAAAGGACAGAATAACATCTATACTCGATAAGTTATTATCAGAAATTTTCATAACGAGTCGAACTCGTCAAAATACGGCAAGGGGTTAATAAATGTAATGGAGGTGCCTTTGTGGAAATAACACATGCACAATTTATTAACATTATTTTGATTTTCGTATCCCCTTCAGTAATTAGTTGCACGAAAGATCCTACGATAATTGATTATTCACTTTTGTTTCAATGAAAATAGGAAGAAATTAAGCATTTTGCATAACCCAGAAAAGAAAATGAGTGACTCTTTACCATAAAAATTTGTGAGTATGTGCAACATTAGCTACGTGAGGTTATTTCACAATTAAAGATACTCCACTTTATTAGCAATTAAACGACATCAAATCGATTTGGTTTCACAGAATAAATTGTAAATACGGTCTGTTGGTTTCGCGGTAATTATTCTTCCACATAGCGAATCACCTGTTGCAATTATATCACGCGAATTCTTGTTTCACTACGATCGTAAATGCAATCATACGCCTTCCTTTCGCTTTCTCAATTTCCAATCATCGCTCAACTTAAATTCACTAATCGGCCTAAAACTCGTAAAGCGTTTTAATAGCCACTATTTATCTTAATGACCCACTTGTGATCGTGTATATTGAAGTAACTACTGGTTTGCTATTTAATCTTCTTTGAAGTCGACTTTTAGTATCTTGTCAACAAAATTGAAGAAGGTTTCGTTGGTTCCAGCAGCATCAATTTCATACTAACTTCACGTGATTCATCTCCCGCTAAAACCGTCATGTCTCGCGCAATGACTGAATGAATGATGATAAGATCATACGCGTATATGCAACCGGCGAGTGACCAGAGCCATAGATTTCACTAGATGATGTTGAATGATGCTACATTTTCGAAACGATTAAGTATGATCCAGAACTGGTAACGCAAGCTATACGGATGCATCGATGTTCATGGATTAGTGTCTTATTAATCTTTGATCGATGCTGGTAGATACCGGTGATATTTTTAAATGTGTCGCATGGAGCAGATAGGATCGTGTATCAGCAGGCAGATTGTGCCAGGGTATTACGTGTAACGACAACGAGTATTTACGTACCGTTAAAATCAACAAAGTTGTTCCTCCACGTGCACGTACCTACATTTATACGTGTTCCCATGAATTAGGGGCTATTCGCAAAAGTACGATACTGCAACGTTGGGATTTATGTGCGGAATGATTCATAAGTTTATTTGACACACTTCGCTGCAGTGAGAAATGACGTTAAACCTGTTTGTTGAAATGAGAGGGGAAGGGTCAAGAAAACGAATGCAGTAAATTCTCCCTAATTGACCCTCAGCTTGGAAACAAAAATGGACAATTTGGGAAGAGGATAGTTGTTGACAATTGGTAATTATAAAAACAACCCGCAAGACTCGAATAATCGTATCTCCAAATTGTCCATTTTTGTGAGCAAGCTGAGGGTCAATTAATCCGAAAAGTGAGAGCGTTGTCATATTTATATTATTTATCTTAAAATATTAACTTGCGTATTAATCATTAACAAAAGTTTTATGTCAAAGTTTTATTGGATCGATGGGTAGAGTGCTTCTCTTAATTTTAGAAGTGTTATAAGCAAAAGTTACTTGATCAACGTAACGTTAAATTAATATCATGATTATTAACGACCATATTTGATATATATAATATATTTTTTTAATGTACTTACATAACAACACGAGTTTAAAAATTACATTTTGTGATACATGTCTGTGTTCTTTAAACAAACGATTATATGCGTTACGTTATTTTGGATATTTAAATAATTGCTAAAATTGAAGGATGTATTGCATATTTAGTGACTTAACTCTCTCTCTCTCTCTCTTCTTTTTCTTTAATTATAGTAATACTTTGATAGTACTTTTTGGGAAGCTTCAAAATGTGAGCCAATATATTAGGTCGAATCATAAATAACTACCCCTTTTTATCAGACATTTATTTCGTTTTCTTTTTATTTATTTGTTTTGTCTTTTTGTTTGCTTTGCTTTGAAACCTTATCTATTTAGTGAAAGCAAAAACTCGTTTGTCTCGGTGACTCATAGCGGATAGATACGAACAATAGATTCGACCTAGCTGCATCGGCAGTTATTTATGACTCGACCTAATAAAAATTACAAGTCGTTATATAAATAGATTGTTTTCTTTATTCCATATACTTTCAAGTTATTTTCTTTATTGTATGCACTTTTACATTATTTTCTTTATAGTATATACTTTTAGATTATTTTCTTTATTATATACATTTTTACATTATTTTCTTTATACTACATAATTTTAGATTACTTCCTTTATTGTACACACCTTTAGATTGTTTTGCATATACGTTTATAGTTACATATACACCGAAGACGCAGAATTTCTTAAGTGGTATAATATTTGCAACTTTACTTTCAAACAATACAGCAATATCGCTTTTATTCTCACAATTAAGCAGTGAATAAAATTCCTGGCATTTACAGAAGTTCGATTCGCGATACTATCGACAATTTATACTTACTTGAATTGTTTCGCCATTGTTCTATGGAAAACTTTGTCCATATCCAGCATCATTTTTTGTCGAGATAACCTTCGCAAGTGACTGCAAAAAAAAGCAAGTATAAGGAAGCGGTTTTTAGACTCGCCATCGGAAGAAACCGAATGCAATGTTTCACGGTTATTGGTGGGTACGCAATAGCCCCTGGCTTCTTAAGGCTGTCCAACCAGTGATTTATATGCAGATGTACGAGCCGAACTGTGTTTCGTTTTGGGCCCCTCACTCGAGTTTGGGCTCTGAGACCATACTCGTGCGGGTGCTATTAAAACTGCCCCACGTCCACACAAGGATGCGCAGTGGCGCAGCATCCTCGGAAACTATTTTTTAACATTGAGCAATTTGTAGCCTGAAACTCCATTAAGATCATAATTATGAACGCCTGTATATTCTTTTCCATTCAACAGGCAAGTCTCCATAAACAAGAGCGAGAATCATATTTCCTCGCAACAAATGTTTCAGACAAAAGGCGTTAAAAGTAAATATTTATAGGTATTACATTCGACAAATTTTATTTCGGCCACCATAAAACAGTAAAAGTTGCTAGAGTAATTGAATATTTAAAACTCGAATCGAAGGAAATTTATTTCAATTAGTTAAATATTATTGAATGCTTAGTTTGTGTCGGAAAAATGGATTTATGAAAATTACAGAACTATAATGTGAATCTGAATTGAATAAAACTGAATAAGTTGAATTTTTTTTTAAATTTAACTATTATTTAATTTTTACATTCTTATGAGTGATATAATACAATCGACATTTATTTATTACTTAAGAAACATCCAATATCATTTGAGTTAATGAAATGACGCGGTGTGAACCAGGAAACATACCTAGAACAAATCAGCTATTTAATGCGATGAAAATGGAGTTTATTTTGTTTGGTTTCCGAAGTCGAGGTTGTGGATGCATGCACACTACAATATTCCTTTCTCTGTGATAATTAATGATGATTTACTATCACTTGTTTAAAGGATTGTGGGAGTAACGTAATTTATAGTATTACGATCTTTCACGCACGTATATTAAGCTCATAAATCTGCTTAAGCTTTCCGAATGAACTTACAAATACCTTTTCTAATAAGCGGTTAAAAGAACTGTTCCTATTATCTATTTATGTCTTTCTATTCATCTATATCTATTATGTTCTACTATCTATTCAACCATCTAATAATCTATTAATTGTGTTTTAAATCTATGAAAATAACAATAACAGCATACAATAATAACGTAAAAGTATATAAAAGTTCCTGGCGGATTAATCAAACACGAATCCATGCTTGCTAAACATATTATGTACAGATTCATGCTTCTGCATAAACATGTACATAAAATTTTTTTCGCATAAATTATCTCCTCTGTTATATCGAGCTCTAGTGACCATATTAAAGCATTCTGTAGCTGAAAAGTTAACTCTTTAAAAAATTATGTTATCACAATTCTCAATATTGCATATTTTAGTTAAATAAAAATTCTTACTTTGAAACTGCATTACTTCGATTTAGACTTACAATATGTAAATAGAGTTTGTAAATATGCCTCACTGAAGAATTAAATTCCTTAA